GTCTGGGTGTCCCCACCCTGGGGACACAGATGGGTGCCCTGCACCCCAGCCCCGTGCTGCAAAAGCCACCATGTCCCTTGCACCTGCAGGTCCCTGGCCACTGCGTGCCCCAGGGACACGTCTCTGGCCACCCAATGCCCTGGGGACACGTCCCTGGTCCCTGAGAGCCCCAGGGATGTGTCACCGGTCACCAGGTGCCCCAGGGACACGTCCCTGGTCCCTGAGAGCCCCAGGGATGTGTCACCAGTCATCAGGCGCCCCAAGGACCCATCACCAGCCACCAGGCACCAGAGGGACACAATCTTGGCTACCAGGCACCCTGAGGACATGTCCCTGGTCACCACGTGCCCCAGAGACATGTCCCCGACCACCAGGCGCCCTGAGGAGATGTCGCCAGTCCCCGGTCACCGCAGGGACATGTTCCTGGGCAGCAGGTACCCCAAGGACATGTCCCCAGCCACCAGACAACCCAGGGACCCATCACCGCTGACCAAGCACCAGAGGGACATGTCACCAGCCACCAGGCACCCTGAGGACACATCCCCAGCCAGTGGGCACCCAAGGGACATGTCCGCAGTCACCAGGCTCCCCAAGGAGAAGTCCCCAGCCACCAGGCACCGCAAGGCTGCATTCCTGGCCACCAGGTACCCCAACATGTCCCTGGCCACCAGGTGTCCCAGGGACCCATCACCAGTGGCCAGGCACTCAAGGGACACATTTCTGACCACCAGGTACCCGAGGGACACGTCCCCAGTCAGTGGGCACGCCAGGGACACATCCCCCAGCACCAGGCACCCTGAGAAGATGTCCCCAGTGACCGGTCGCTGCAAGGACATGTTCTTGGTCACCAGGTACCCCAAGGACATGTCCCTGGCCACCAGGTGCCCCAGGAACCCATCACCAGTGACCCGAGGGACATGTTCCTGATCATCAGGTACCCTGAGGATATGTCACCAGCCACCAGGCATCCCAGGGACACATCCCCAGGAACCAGGCACCCTGAAGAGATGTCCTCAGTCACTGGTCACCGGAGGCACAGGTTCTTGAGCACCAGGTACCCCAAGGACAAGTTCCTAGCCCCCAGGGACCCATCACTGGTGACTAGGCACCCAGGAGACCTGTTCTTGGCCACCAGGTACCCCAAGGACATGTCCCCAGCCCCCAGGCATCCAAGGGACAGGTCTCCAGTCACGGGGCGCCTCTCACCAGCATTCAGCGATGGGGTCCTCACGCCGCAGCAGGTGGCCGAGGACCTGGAGATGGACCAGGACACCACCTGCCCCAGGTACGCCCCATCCCCCTGGGACACCAACATGGTGGCAGCTTCTCCCGGTGCCAGTGGCATCCCTGCCATGTCCCCCACAGCCCCCCAGCACCAACCACACCCCGGTCCTTCTCGCCCCCACACACCTAAAAAAAAACAGCGACAAGGGGCTCGCCAGGAGGGTCGCTGCTGAATGGCTGGGGCTCTGTCTCGGAGGACAACTTCGCCAGTGCCCGCTGCAGCTTAGTGAGCTCCTGCGATGGCTCCTTCCTCCTGGACGCCAGCTTCGCCCGGGCACTGGCCGGGGCCGTCGATGGCCTCTGCTTCAGCCTTGAGGACACCGACGGGGGCTATGGGGGTGAGCGAAGTGTCCCCAGACCCCTTTCTGACCCCACACATCATCACCTCCTCGGGGGAGGTGGCCCCGTTGTCACACCATGGCGATGCCACCATCTCCTGCCTTTTCCCTGGCAGGTCCCTCACCACCACCATCACCCTTGGGAGAGGTCTTCTTGCCTGGGGTCCCCATTCCCAGCTGGGACTGGGTGACAGCGTTGGGGGCCCCGCGGACAGCTGGGACAGAGGCGGCCGTGGGCATTCCACAGCACGGTGAGTGGCGACCTGATGCCAGGGTGATGGGCACCCGGGGCAGGGTGTCACCAATTGCAGGGTGCTGGAAAATGTCCCCTTTTCTTTCTAGGTGGCCATGGGATGGGGAGTGGCAGCCCCTGGGCCAGGGTGGATGGTGAGCCAAGGACAGGAGGGACAGGAGCGTGGCGGTCCCCAGGGTGCAGGACGCGGCAAGGCCAGAGTCCCCTCGGCTCGGCTAAAATCCAGCTTTATTAAGCCGTTCCCCAAAAAGGGGCTCTTTGCTAACAAAGGGTGGGTGGCACCAAGGTGGGTGGGTGTCCCTCCTTCTCCAGCATCCTTGTCCTCCCAAAGTGTCCTCATCCTTCCCCAGTGTCCCCATCCCTTCTCAGTGTCCCCATCCGTCCCCAGCATCCTCATCCTCCCCAGGTATACTCATCCCCTCCAAGGGTCCTTGTCCCTCCCCAGTGTCCTCCTTTCCCAGCATCCTTGTCCCCCAGCCATCACTGCTGAACGTCCCAAGTGTCTTTGTCCTTCCCCAGGGCCATTGTCCCCCTGACCATCCTCATCCCCACTGACCGTTCTCATTCCTTCTGACTGTCCTTGCCTTTCCTGACCATCCCTGTCCTTCCTCAGCACCCTTGTCCTACCTTGACCACCCTTGGCCCTCCCAAGTGTCCTCATCCATCCCAAGCCACCTTGTCCCTCCTGAATGTCCTTGTGCCCCCTCCAAGTGTCCTCAGCCCTCCTAACCATCTTCATCCCCAGGGTTCTTATCCCTCCTGAGCATCCTCATCCTTCTTCAACTGTCCTTCCCCTCCCAAGCCTCCATGTCCCTCCCCCCCCACACCCCGAGACCACCCTCCTTGTCCCTCCCTACCATCCTTGTACCTCCCAAGCAACCTTGTCCTTCCCAATTGTCCTCTTCCCCCAGTGATCCTCAGCCCCTGGGCATCCTCACCCTTCCCCAGTGTCCCCATCCCTCCAAACACCCTCGTCTCCCAGCATTCCTTGTCCTTGCCCAGCACCCTCATCCCTCTGCAGTGGCCTTGGCCTTGTCCCTCCCATGTATGCTCGTCCCCCCGACTGTCCTTATCCCTTCCAACCATCCTCATCCCTCCCATCCATCCTTGTCCCTCCCCAGCATCCTCATCCCTCCCAATTGTCCTTGTCTCCAGGGTCCTCGTCCCACCTGAACAACCTCCTCATCCCTGCCTAGGGTCCTTGGCCTTCCCAAGCAGCCTTGCCCCTCCCAACTGTCCCTGTCCCCAGGGTCCTCATCCCTGGGGTCCTCATCCTTCCGGAGCCTCCTTGTCCCTCCAGAGCGTCCTTGTCCCTGGTGACTGTCCTTGGCCTCCCCAAGCAGCCTCATCCCTTCTGAGCCTCCTTGTCCCTCCCAACTGTCGTTGTCCCCAGGGTCCTCATCCCTAGGGTCCTCATCCCTCCTGAGCCTTCTTGCCCCCCCAACTCTCCTCATCCCCAGGGTCCTCATCCCTTCTGAGCCTCCTCGTCCCTCCCAACTGTCATTGTCCCCAGGGTCCTCATCCCTAGGGTCCTCATCCCTCCTGAGCCTCCTTCTCCCTCCAGAGCATCCTTGTCCCTGGTGACTGTCCTTGGCCTCCCCATTCCCGAGCATCCTCATCCCTCCCAAGCATCCTTGTCCATCCTTACTGTCCTTGTCCCCCCCCTCGCATCCTCGTCCCCCCCCTCGCACCGCTGCCCACCGGCTGCTGGCTCTGTGCAACCCTATTTACACGGTGTCACTCAGAAATTAAAGATC